GCTTTGGAAAATAGGTTGACCGCTGACCCCTCTCTTCTCTGTGGCAGCCCCTCAAATACTAGCTATTATGTCACCCCAGTCCAGGAGTGCGTTGCTGCTGGTTCGCTTCGTATGTGCGCAGTTGACTGCCAAATTGTTCTGCACATTCGCAGAACATGAAAAAATTAGTAAAAAAAAAACAAAAACAAGCCGGCAACTGCAGCTGGTTAGGGGGCACGGCCAGCCTGCTGTCCCTACCGGTTCGCCGATCCAATCCCAATTTCTACTATCGGTTCACCCGAACTGGTAGCAGCCCACCTCTGCCCCAGTCCTTCTTTTCTCTAGACTGGACATGTCCATTCCCTGCAACCGTTCTTCATATATTTTAGCCTATTTTGGGAGAGTGTTGGTTCCGCTGTGGTTTGCGGCTAAGCTTTGGAGCTATAGGAACCATGTAGCTATAGTACCTGGCTTGGTCATGTTACCGGTCAAGGATAGAGCTACCTGGAAAGGATCCAACGTGTTAGATCACAACAGCATCGGGTAGGAATGTTCTTCTCGAGATCCATGTTTCCCAAACTGGCTCTCTTCTTCGATTGAATATTTGGAATATAGTCAACTATGGGAATATTTGAAAACATTCCACAGCACCGAGCCAAACCGTGCAACAAGTAATTAATAAGTTAGTGCCACGGGCATGAGTCAGCTTTTTTAAAAAATATTTTATTTACATGAACATGAGCCAGAAAGTCAATTTGGTGTAGCGGTTAAGGCATCCTGGCAGAAACCAGGAGACTGGGAGTTGAAGTCCTGCTTCAGGCATGAAAGCCGGCTGAGTGACTTGGGCCAGGAGACAGTGAGTTCTAGTTCTGTCTTAGATACGAAAGCCTTCTGGGCGACTTGGGCCAATGATTAGGAGACAGTGAGTTCTAGTTCTGCCTTAGACATAAACGCTTTTTGGTTGACTTGGGACATTTACCAGGAGACGGTGAGTTCTAGTTCCATCTTAGGCATGAAAGCCTCCTGGGTGGCTTGAACCAATGACCAGGAGACAGTGAGTTCTAGTTCTGCCTTAGATACGAAAGCCTTCTGGGTGACTTGGGACATTTACCAGGAGACAGTGAGTTCTAGTTCTGCCTTAGACATGAACGCTTTTTGGTTGACTTGGGCCATTCACCAGGAGATGGTGAGTTCTAGTTCCATAGGCATGAAAGCCTCCTAGTTGACTTTAGGCCAGTCACCAAGAGACCAGGCATTCTAGTCTTGCCTTAGGCCCAAAAGCCAGCTGGGTGATCATGGGCTCGTCAATTTCTCTCAGCCCCAAGAAAGTGACAATATCAAAGCACTCCTGAAAAACACAAGTATTGTCCAGACAGTCTCTGAGATCCAGACACGATTGAGTGAAAGAAGAACAAACTTTCCCAAACTTGTTAGATAGATAGGACATTTAGGTTAACTTCCCTCTGAGAATGAGGGACTTTTTAAATTGTCATTATGGCTGCTTTGTTGTTGTTAGTTGCAAAGTCATGTCTGACCCATCGTGATCCCATGGACAATGTTCCTCCAGGCCTTCCTGTCCTCTACCACCCTCCGGAGTCCATTAACCCCATACAGCCACCTCCTTCTCTGCCATTCCCTTCTTCTTTTTGCCCTCCATCGTTCCCAGCATGAGGCTCTTCTCCAGGGAGTCCTTCCTTCTCATCAGGTGGCCAAAGGATTTGAGTTTCCTCTTCAGGACCTGGCCTTCTAAAGAGCAGTCTGACAGTTATCAGTTTCCTTCGGAGTCAGACATCAGTGCGGCAGACGAACAGCTGGAGCCTCTTCCCAATGTTCCCAACTGCTTCGGTGACTCCATCCAGCCACCTCCTTCTCTGCCATCCCCTTCTTCTTCTTTTGCCCTCCATCGTTCCCAGCATGAGGCTCTTCTCCAGGGAGTCCTTCCTTCTCATCAGGTGGCCAAAGGATTTGAGTTTCCTCTTCAGGACCTGGCCTTCTAAAGAGCAGTCTGACAGTTATCAGTTTCCTTCGGAGTCA